TTTGGAGGGCATACTGCAGCCCTTCTGCTGCAGGGCTGATGCTCTGCTGCCTTTAAATCAGCACGGCCAGATCTGGAAGGCTGTCTGTATCCAACAGTGCCTGAGAGCTGCAACCTTTTTGGTGTGGGAAGTGGGAAATTTGGCTTCCAGTCCTTAAACCTCTCCAGAAACCTCAGCTTTGTGTCCCCTACCACGGGAGGCAAAATAGAGGCAAGAAAAATGGAGCAGTGAAGCTGTGAATGAGTAAATCTATTCAGAATGCGTGTGAAGTGCTTCTGTGTCCATGCAGTTTTTGTTTCATTGCAATCTTTGCCTCTTCCTCCCCCTCCAGGAAGCAAGTAGTTAATGCTTGCATAGCCTCAGATGACTTTTATTATTTATTTATTTATTTATTTTTACTTTTGCAGGGCAAATGTGAGAAGCAAGTACAGGACGTGATCGAACGGTTTTGGGATTTCATAGACCAGCTCAGTATCAATACCTTTGGTGAGATGTGTAACCACAGCCTTTGGGGTTTTCAGTTCCTGACACAAAGCTCGAAACCACAGGGGGGGGTTAGTTAGCTGGCTGGTTTTGCTCGCCTGTACAACAGGGTAGTTCATAGCTGTGCTTCTGAAATCCAGATGTATTTCTGCATAAGATAACACTGATCTTGCCTTTGAGGCTGAAGGGCTGGGAGCATTTTGCATTTTTCCTCTCCATTCTGTCCTACTCATCTTCCAAGCTTGTGAAAGAGGCGGCAGCTCTTCCAGCGAGCTTCTTGTCTAAGTACCAGTAAGTAGGGCAACGAGAGGAAAGGAAATAGCGGCCTTGTTAGGGGTCAGCTCGCTGCAGCACAGCAGAGGTGAAGTAGGCCTTGGTGGGATTTAAATGTCAGCAGACAGGGAAAGGAGAACTTCATTTCTCATTTAATAAAACCACCTCCAGCTGCGTGCCTGAGCCACTGGCTGGTGAGGGTATGCGTGCCTCCTTGGTCCTGAATAATAATTTTCTTAGAAAATTATATCAAATATGCTTAAAAAAAGGGAAAAAAAAAATTGCATTATGCTGGGCTGGTCCTGCAGCCTGTGTTGTACCTGAGAAATCCTGTGAGCTGGCTTGCAGTGGGAATGGGAACTTGTGTGTGCAGTCAGGAAATGCTCTTTGCTCAGTCACTGATGGATTTGAACTGATTTCCCAGGGAAGTTCCTCGCAGATAATATAGTGGGCTCCGTGCTCGTCTTCTCCTTGCTCTTCTGGATTCCTCTCAGCATCCTTGTGCACTGCGTGGTGAGTGAGCTGCCTGGAGATGACTGCCTTTGGGGTGGAGCTGTAGGAGAGCGCCCTTCCTCTTGTGAATGGCAAATGTCTGCGGGAGGAGGAGATGGGAGGCTTTTAGGAAAGCTCAGAGGGAGCTTCCCTGCTAAATTCTGCCAGGCTCTAGCAGCCCCGTGCTCCCATGGCTGTCTCCTGGAGCCGTTCCTGTTCTCCCTTAGGCAGATTTTTTCTGCCCAAGCATCATTCTGATGACTTGCATCAAAGTTTTTTCTCTAGCCCACAATTTGTGGGGACACCCGGGGCAGGAAGTGGTGTTGGTTGAGCTTGGGTGCATGGGTGAAGAGAGAAAGGTCACGGTGACTGCGAATGTGGGCACGTGGTGTGGGGTTAGGGCAGAGGATTGCTGCCTGTGAGCTCAACATGGGGGGCGGATGGGAAGGAAGGGGGAAGAAAGCCCCGACCCCGCTGTGTCCCTGCAGGGAAATGGGGACAGGGGCGTTGTTTGCATCTGGGAGATTAACTGTGTGTGTGTGCTTTGGTTTACTTTGTGTTTATTTCCCAACAGGACAAGAAATTGGACAAGCAGTACGAGGAGAACACCAAGTCTCTGTTCTGCCCCAGTGTAAGTCGCTGCCTGAACGCGTTCCTGCAGCCCCCGCCTCCAGCTGGGGCCAGCTCGATTTGAGGGAAACTGCTTTCCTGCCCCAGCTGGTGTTTGATGTAGCGAGCACTGCGGCTTCACAGGTCTGGTGTTTCCTTCTTGTGAGAGCTGGGCCTTGACCTTGCTGACAAGGCAGCTTCCTCACCCCAACCACAGCCCCCGAGGCAGGAAGCTGCCGGCACGGGTCACTCAGCTCCTGCTGCAGGGTGCTTGCTCCCAGCTAAGCGGTGTCAGCAAAGCAGAAAAATCTCTGCAGCACGTGGTGTCTCTGCTGCAGGGCCTTTAGCGGCTGGGCGTGCTGAGGCTTTCCACTTACTCATAGAAAAATCAGCCCAGGGGTGCGAGGACCCGTCACGTGGCAGGTGGTGACACGTCTCGCTGTGCAGAGGCTGATTTGGGAGAGGGGAAGAGCAGAAAAGCACACGGATAAATTTTAATTACAGTCCAGCTCGAGGCGTCTTCTGGCAAAGATTTTTGGGCGTCCTGTCTGGTGCTTTGACAGCTCGATTTTTATTAATAACCGCAGCAGCGTTAAGGAAATGTCATTTTTATGTCATTTTTGTAATGGGAGGGGGAAAAGAGCCTTGCAGAGCTCCTCAGCTGCTGGAAGAAGCATCCTGGAGCCAGGCTTATGAGGCAAATTGCCCCTGTAAGCTACGTGTGTGTAACCAGAGGTGATGTTAGCTCGAGTCCTTGAGTCCCCCATAATTCCTCTTATGCCATAGAAGTCACCTGGGATCTGTGCACTTGGATCCAGGCAAGAACACGCTCCAGAAGCAGATCTGGCTGTAGGCTGCAGCTGTACTGGATGGGCTCCTTGCACCAGTAACAGGTTTAACAGAGAAACCCGGCTTCTCTTGGACCTGCTGAGTATTGAGCAGCTCAGAAACTCACTAGTTAGCATCTAAATGTTTTACCCTACTTTTCATGTCACTCCCTTGTCCATTCCCTTCCCCGTTATTAGCATTTGCTAAGGTCTGTAGGGATTTTTCACCCCTGGAAATCTCCGGATATTTCCCAATCCACGCTCAGACAGAAGCAGAAATCAACAGTTGAACAAATTGAATGAATCCTGAGCTAGCAGCCGTTTGCTTCTCCCCCTTGCAGAACGTGGAGATGCTGAGCAGCCTGGACTCGGCCTCCGTGCGCATCGTGAAGCCCTTCCCGGCGGCGCAGGCGAGCAGCCGGCACCAGCCCCTGCAGCCCTTGCAGCCCCTGGCGGCCGTGGCACCAGCGGCGGCGGCGCCCAAGCAGGACCACCAGCGCATGGACACCATCCAGGAGGACCCCAGCACCGACTCCCACGTCGACGAGGATGCCTTCGAGAAGGACCCTTTCCCCAACAGCAGCTCGGCGGCCAAATCTTTCGAGGACTTGACGGAGCACCCCGTCACCAGGAGCGAGAAGGCGGCGTCCTTCAAGCTGCAGCGCCAGAACCGGGTGGACAGCAAGGAGACGGAGTGCTAGCGCCCCGCTGCCCGCCCAGCGGGATCTGAAACCATTTCACTGCTATAAATACGGATCTATATGGATATATATTTTTGTGAGGGAGCGGGGGGAAATAAGGAAGTGACCTACTGCAGATGCTGGTCATGTGTATGACCTTCCTTACGTTACGTTTCTGAGAGCATTATATCTTTTTAAAAAGCAAAAATCCAAACTAAAAGTGGCTTGTTTTTGAAAGCTTTTTTTTTGGATTTGTTTTTTTCTGGTTTCTTGACCTCTAACATTTCCTTCAACCTGTGGTGCAAACCCGAATATCCTCCTGGATATTGTGTATATCAGCCTTTTTTTTTTATAATTTAATGTTTTGTAGTCTGATGGCACTGATAGCCAAAATTAAGGGGCTTTTTAAACAAAACAAAACACTGCAGCACGTTCCTGACGGAACAGCTCATTGGAGCATCTAAACATTACAGGTGCCTGGAGAACAAACCGAGAGTTAGGAAGCAGTCATGGCTTAATGGCATCTAATGGAGATGCACAATCCAAATTCAGAAGTTTTCCATACGGCTTTAAACAAAAACAAAAAGGCTCGGAGAGGTGGTTAAAGCTTATTCAGTGCACGGAAGAGCTCCTCTAGGTGTGAAACTCTTCTGCCTCTCGCTGCGAGGTTGCCTTGCCTGGTGTTTTCGTGGCAGGGAGATGGTTTCCCTACAGCAGGAGCTGTGTGTGCTGCAGGTGGTGGTGAAATGGAAGAAGTGTAAGTGGAGAAATCATTTATGCAGATGGGAACTGTTCCAGCGAATTGTTTACAGTCATTTCAGTGCAGAAATGTTTCTCTGAGCGTTACTTTGCAATAGGTAACACCACCGTCGAGCTGTTCAAAGAGCTGAGCCTCCTCTTTCAGGGTTTATGTGGCCTTTGGAAGCCCCTACTGCTAAAGAAACGAGAAAATGCCACACTCCACTGCAGGAGCACGGTTGTTTAAAAACAATTGTGACTTTAACAAAGCTTTTTGTGTTTTTTTTTTGCTTGTTTGTTTGTTTGTTTTTTGATGAAACTCCTAGGGCACATACTGAGGAGGTGTTAGGAATTCCAGTTCCCACGCAGGCGATGCGATGCTAGGAGCAGGTACCTGGTGGTGCCCTCTAATTCGGTGTACCTGCACAGGAGGTTGGAGCTCTGTACCGGGGGGGCTGTGGGCTGGGAGCTGAGCGGTATTTTAGCCTGGCAGCAACTGGACTGACACAGGGGAGCTGCAGAGCAGCTGTCACGACAGCAAAGAAGCATTTAATTCTGCCTGCTTTCTCCTGCAATAATGAATGAATCAAACTGACCCGAGACGTGAACGACAGCAGCCCCATTTTAACTGTTACAAACCTGTGCTCAGCCACAAAGGAGCCGCAGCCGGGGGAAGCCTTTGTGTTTTTAAACATGATGGGAAGTAACCAAAGCTGTGCTGAGAGAGTTGCCCGAGTCTCTGCCTTCCCAGCCCAGGATCTTGTTACACTAATACTTGAATGTGTGCCTTACGGTATTCCTACCTGGCTAGCTCCTGTTTTGTGTACTGGTTTTGGTTTGTTTGGTTTGCCTTTGTTGGTTTTTGTTTTTTTTTTTGATTCCAGGCAAAGCACACGTGTGAGGAGTTAATTAATTTAATTCCCAATACAATAAAAGCTTTTTATATTAAAAAAGAAAAGTCAATTAAATGAGCTGTTTTGGTGCCGTCCTTTTGGAAAGATCTCATCAGATCAGGGTTTCAGAAACTGAACTCGGTTTGTTCTGTACAGCTAAAGGGAGACGACAGCTTCCACAGGGAGCCCTGCCACTCCGTAGCCAGCCTTTATTGCAGGAAATCCTTACGCAGCAGCCAGGCCAGATTAATCTTCATAAACATTTACAAATAGAGCCAACTTGCTTCTGGGCTGCCTCCAGAGACATGAAGAATAACCAGCTGCAAGCCCATTCATAACGCTGGTGCACCGTAGGTGGCAGGTCCTGGCTGCTGCCTCAGTTCTTAACGACACTAAGAAGCAGGGGTGAAGAAGCTGCTGCTGGTGCCCAGCCTGAACTCACCCCCACACCCCCCAAGCTACCATCTATCACTATCAAAGACCTTGCCAAAGCACAGATAACAGCTTTTACTGCTTCATTACAGCCAAACGCAGGAATTATTCTTGACAAAAGAAAAAAAAAATCTATGCTGCTGCTACATATCAGCACCTAGGTGTGACAGACCAGTGTGGATTGCCCTGGAGCTGGGGCAGGCAGTCCTTAGGGCAGCCTCCTTCCTTCCTGCGGTTACAGGGCAGCTCAGAGCAGTTTTCCTCCAGCTCTTTTACAGAGTTTATCACCAGAACTTCCCAAGCCCTCAGCACAGGATGCATGCAGCCAAACCACCCCCTGGGCTCATCTTTATCCTGACATTTGCAGCACGCTGCAGGTACCGGCTGTCCATCAGCAGAACTGCTCTGTGGGGCAGGTTGGGCTCCTTCAGCTCGCTCCTGCGCCACATCCTCACAGCAGACTGGCCTCAGGGTGCAGGTGGTCCACCTCCCGCCAGTAGGGAAGCAAGAAGGGCAGCGCAGACACTTTATTCTCCAGGTGTTTCCAAATCTGGGCTGCCAGAAAGCTGTTCCCTTTGGCTGACAGGTGAAGCCCGTCAGACAAATAGGCAGAGAAATCCTACAGGGGAGGTTAAAAACCTCGGCATCATTCCAGCAATTTCAGTCCCAAAGCCTCCCCCCCGATGCCGTACCTGATTTTTTTGCATCAGTGTCCACAGGTCGAGCACGTCAGTCCCGCAGTCCCTGGCTACCTGCACACAGGCCTGGGCGTACTGCCCCGTGGTGGCATTGCGGCGATTCAGTTTGTCACCTGCCAGGCACAAGGGAAAGGCTCAGCAATCTCCAGCAAAAAGTTCCTGACGACAGGGGACTGCAGAACTAGAAGCAAACGTCTGGTACTTAATGCAGTTTGGCTTCAAAAAATTAAATTGAAAATTGAAACAAAGATGTTTTATAGTCAAGGCCAGCCCTGAAACAGCAAGCCACAGCATCTCCCCAGCCCCTTTATCTTTTTCTCTGCCATGCCAATCCTGCCCAGCCTGCCATTACTCAGCAGGTACAAAGAAAGAGCATGGAAACTTCCCAAGGGGCAGCCACTGCTGTCGGTGCTATGCACGAGCAGATCAGCCAGCACTTTCAGGATGGGATTAATTAGTTGCTATTATTCCACGTGCTCATCCAAGAGATGTATAGAACCAGCGAGCAGTCGGTGCCCATCAGCTCAAAGCACACGAACGTGCTCTGGCACCAACGCAAAACTGATCGTCTGGGCTCACTGACTTGAACTCTGGGACTAAAAAGCAGAAATTCTGCTCAGACGCATTTACCTTTGGCAAGGCACTCCTTCTCCCAAGCTGACTCCTGAAGAGGGGGCGGCGTTATCAGAATGATCCTGTCCTCAGTGATGTCGATGGACTTCAGGTACTGCACCATGCTCTTCAAGTTCGCTGTGTATTCCTCCAAAGGAACGTGCTGCTTAGGGTTCAGATCTGTTGAGGGTGCAGGAAATGTGTTAGTGATGTAAAACTGAGCTGCTTGCACATTTATTACATGACAAGTAAAGCATTTTTATACAGAATAAAAAGGTGGGCACTTCTCACTTTTGGTAAGCAGTTCACCTGCTTAATTCGGGAGGTGTGGTGGGAAAATTCAGCTCCTCAACATCCAGAGCAGACAAATCAGGAGCTTAAACACAGCATTATTTAAACTAATACAGATGAGGCACAGGAAAAAAGAAAACACCTTTTTTTGAACGTGCTTTTTCTTAGTCTGTAGCTTAGTATTAGACCACATCATCACCTCAAACTTCACCCAAAACAAAACCTAAGGTTTTTAACTCTGTTGGATGCAGAGAAAATTTTGGAAACGTCCCATGGGCTTCACAGACAGTCCTTTATGTACTGATCTTACAGTTTTGATTACACTAAGCTCTGCGTGCTGCTATGCTTATCTTAAAAGAGAATCCAAGTGCTATCTTCCCTCATTTCATCAACTGCCAAGAATCCATCAGGCTGCTTTAAGGGCTGAAAAATCAGCTCGATGCCCAACTCCAGCTTTTAGTGTTGGATATATGATTAATTCTTGAGCACCTTCAAGTTTACTGGTATTGTTAAAACTTGGTCAGAGAGAAAGGGAAGGCAGTGCATGCTTTAAATACAAAAAAAAAAAATCGATCCACTGTAAAAATGAAAAAAAAAATGACAGCTATTTCACAGAGAAGAAGCAGAAAAAGTCTGTGTAACTTTCTGTCTTTTCTTCTAAACTATAAATCTGTCATAAGAACATAGGTCACAGGAAAAAAAAATGAAGTTACCGTACCTTTCAAAGCGCTGTCATTAGCTCCAAAGAAAATTGTGACTGCAACAGTACTCTCAGCACCAGAATTTTTGCTGATCAGTCTTGGAAGGATCACTTTAGCCCACCTGGTATTGTACCCTGAGAGTCCACGATTTACAACATCGCATTTTCTGAAACAGACACACGTATCAGAAAGAACACCTCACCCCACCAGAACGAAACTCGAGAAGTTTTGACCTGTTTTGTCAGGATAACTGCCTCTGCATCTCAGCCTCAATGAGATGTCACAGGAGATTTAGCAGAATTGTAACTTTATGTTTTAAAAGTGCACTCACAGGTTGCAGCTACAGTATTGAGTTACCACTTACTTAGACTATGAAACCAGAAAAGCAACTTTGACAAAAAAAAAGATATTTTTTTCCTTTCCGCTCAAGCTTTACAGCAACCTCCAATGGGTATTTCCACCAGCATTGGGATGGACACCACCAAGAAATTCCCATGTCAATAAATAAATAGTATGTTAATAAACACACATCAAACACTAGTTTGTGATGCTTTTCTTTTTGAACAGCTGCATGACTTTTTGCATACTGGTAAGTACTTTTAAAATGTAAGCTCTTACCTGACAAGTCTCTCAGCAAGGAATGCTCCCCAGCCATGCTCCTGGAAGGAAAACTAAACACAGGGAGCACATCAGACTGTCACTAGAAGCAGCACTCACTCCTCAGCAGGTCATCAGCATTTACTTTCTTATTTTCCTATTCTTTACTAAGATTATTTCACTGTGACTTCATTCTGGGGAGCACCTCTCACAAATCCTTTCTCTACATGCTACCTCAAGCGCAGTTTGAAACCCACCTCTTTTAGTAGTGGGGAATAAAAGATCAAAATCCCCTTCCCCTTTTCCTTATTCCCACTGCTGCATCACCCGTCCTGCTACAGGGTTTTGCCTGCTTACAGAACTACAAAGAGAGCTGCTTTAGACACAAACCTGCCTGTAAAAGGAACCACTCCCCTTCCAGAAACAAGAGCCCAGCTCTGTGATCTGCTTCACCGTGCTATGGTGCAGGGCATCGAGCACAGAGCAGAGCCCCTGCGTTCCCCAAAAGGGATCCCCAAAAGAAACAGAGCCCCAAAATGGTCACCAGCATGCCCCAGGGGGTATTGCCTCAGAGGAAATCTCTGCATAACCCCAGCGTGGTCACCCCGACACCAAACGTGTCCCTGGGGCTGCGGGGCTGGAGCTGCACAGGAACAGGGCTGGGGCTGGGGGGCGCAGCAAAAGGGTAGCTGGTACAAAAAACAGGCTCTGGAAAACACCAGCGACACACCAGCAGTTACACTTTTACCTGACGCTTCTCATATGTGGCCTTCACTGCAAAAAGGGAGTGAATCTCCTAAAACACAGCCCCCTGAAAGGTGTCCCTGGGGTTCAGCAGGCTCCCCTTCCCGCCTCACGGCTTCCCTCCTGCCCCTGAGGTGACAGCGGCTGAGCCAACCCCCCCCCCCGCCCCTCCACACACACACACCACAGCTGTAGCATGCTCATTTTTCCTTAAAAACCAGTAATAAATAACACCACTGCAACACCAGGCCTCGAGGGAAGTCTGCTGGAGCAGTGGAAAACCTGAGGGGACGCCGAGGCCGGGGCTGCCCCTCAGATACCACACAAGAGGCACAGGGACGTTCACGGGGCTCCGCGGCTCCATGAGGGAACCCCACCGGCCCCATAGCAGCGAGGAGAGCACATGGGGAGCGCCTGTGGGGCCTGCTACCTCAGTGATGGAGTCTCCAAAAAGGACGATGCGGGGCCAGAGCAGCAGCCGCCCGCCAACACCCGCCTCTGCCAGCGCCATGGCGGCTGCCGGACATCCGCCAGCAGCAGCAGCAGGAGGAGGAGAAGAAGGAGGAGGAGGAGGAAAAGGAGCGGCTGCTGCTAAGCTCCGCAGTCAGATCCCCTCGTGTCGAGCGGGAATTAAAAAAAAATCCCCGTCACAGCCATTCAGATGCTGAGCATCCTTCCTTGGGAGGTGGTGCTGAGGGCCTCCCACCCCACAGGGACAGACAAGTCCTAAGGCTACTCTAGTGCTGTTTGCCTGTCCTAACGAGCGCTTCTGCAGCTCTCAAAGCTCCAGCAAAATACCTTAAAATGGCAGGAAATAAAAAGGGATTGGGCCCGCAACTGAAATGGGAGTGAAGCTGAGGCCTTGAGACTCCCCCCACCTTGCACCCTCACCTGCCTGGCAAGGCTCGCTGGGCTGAAACACCGCCGAACAAAACTTTCCCCAGCACAAAATCCTGAGCAGCTGCTTCTCTTCACTTTTATTTTAACATTTTACTGCTTTCCCACCCTTTTAAAAAGCTTTTTAAGTGATGTAGATCCTCCTACAAACCCACTAGAGGTTTCGGAGGAGACTGTGGTTGGGGGGAAAATGCACTCACTGCAGGATAACATCTGTCTGCCCCATGACAGAAGCAGCTGTGAGCATCAGTTTGAAAGAAACAGCACAAACCAGAAAGATGAAATATTAAATGACAATTTTGGAGACCTATTCCACCAATACATTAAAAATAAACCACATTGCATTTATCAGAAACACATTAAAAACAACAACAACAACAAAAAAAAAAAAAAAAAAAAACAACAACAAAAAAAAACACATGATTTTGAAAATAAGATTTTTACCTCTGCCAAAGAGAGAATTCCTTTTTAACACAATGCTGTTATCACCTTAAAAAGGCTTCATACTCATACTTGGCTAACCAAAGATACACAATGCAGAGTGGAAAGCTGACACACACATGCCTACTTCACTAATAGCGCTGTAAAAATTATCAGGTCCCACATTAACCAGCTAGTAGAAAAATTATGTGTACCAGAGAAAATCTGTTCTTTCAACATGATTTGCTGTCTGACAACCACCCCAGCTAACTCAGAGTATCACATTTGTGTTTGAATTTCCCTACACCCTACAGATTCCAATAGCCTCTTTCATTTTGGTCCAGGAGCATTGTTTCACTAGTGCTGAGTTACAGGACCATCAGCAGGAGCAAATGCATGCTGACTGTCTGAGAAAGTGACAGGACCATTTGCACTTCAGGCTGTTACCAGGTCCCAAGCACTGACTTCTCTTGAAGCTTCTGTTGTTCATCCAGCAGAGTCAATGGCAATATTTTAAAACATGCACAATTTTAAAATTGCAGATAATCTCACTATGCAAACCTGGATTCCATTTGGAATGTGTTCAAGCCCCCTTGATTTCAAGCAGATACAAGCATGCAGGTAAAAGCTTCCCTGACAGGAACAAAATAATATCAAAGTTTGATTCTGCAAACTCAAACCATCCAGTTTATCCTGCAAATATTAATCAATCTCCAAAAATGTGAAACTCTTTCTGTAATTCAACATTTAGAAGGCATGTCAGTCCACACCAGGTTAATAATTTTTTCTTATTTGTTTTATGTGCATGTAAGAAAAAAGGAGCATATGCATAATTTGCCTAATTTTATTGTGAACTATATGTACAAATATAGTTGATATAATGTTGGTCACCCATTATTTGAAATAACTTAGCAGTTTCACAGTCACAGAATTGATGCATTTGTCTTACCGAAGAAAAAAGTTTATTTATTTTTAAAAAAGAGTCCAAACAAATTTGAACATTAAAAGTTTTTCTTGCGTGTCCTAGATATCTACAGAGGTCAGTGTACTGGGCTGAGGGCATCATAGAGCCTCTGCGCAGCGAGTTCCACCATTTCACGAAGGGAGTCATCATCTTCGCTTCCTGGCTCACAGTCAACTGTCTGGGAATAAAAAAAGAAGTAAGTTAGGAAAATTAGCACTTCATATTCCTTTTCAGAATATCAGGAATGGTGATAAGGGGAAAGGAAAGAGTAGCTATGCGAATTAAAACTAAAGTTCTTTAGAGTTTTCAGTGGTGCTATTTTTAAATGGTCCACCACCATGTAGAAGAGTTCAGTGAAGACTTATTGAAGTCTTGCTACAGAACAAGAAAATTAATTTCATGTTTTGTTAGTCATTTGCTTCAAAACTACTGTGTGAAATGCCTCAAGTTCCATAGATTGCATTTGATTCAAAATCAAATAAAACCACACAATGTTCAGTCCTTGCAGATTTAATTTTATCTGTGAATTCATCCCCATTGTATTAGGTTAATATTGTGAAATGTGGGGATTCAGAGATACTGGTACCAGTACTCTAGCTCCACACTTATGTTCCCACACGAGGTAACATTTCCATTACAGCTGAACCCAAACATTATTATTTTATCACTATAACAATTTTAAAAATATCTACAGAGAAATTATGGATGCCCCATCCAAACATGCAAGTTCCTCAACACTCAAAGTGCCTGCTCTCTCAAAAGCAAGGGGCAGCAATTACATGCTAATATTATTCACAATCCCATGGACTTTCTAAGCACTAAGACAGTAACTTCTCGATTTCTTAGACCATCTTAGGAAGCTACTGTAAGAACACTGGGTTAAGAGTTAACATGGAAAGAAAATCCACATAGCCCATCATTTACTCAGATCTGTATTAAACAAGTTTTGATTTAACATTAGACGAAAATGAAACCTAATGTTTTGGTTAAGCAGTTTGCACTTTTATCCAATCTATTTATTTTTTCTCTATTGCAAGATCTCTTTTCATCAGTGCTGTATTTTTTTGTGTACTATGTATATATTGAAATGTATCTTGCTTTATTGTTATGAAATGGGCAGGAAATTTTGGGCAGGAACCAACCTTTTCTTCTGCATCTGCAGAACACTTAAAATATTTTTTTGCCATCACTAAGAAAAGCACCCGAGAGCTACTCCAGTGGAATATATTACTGCTACCCAGGTTTTTAATATCTTATTAATAAGTACAAAAGGATCAAGATGACCAAAATATTTATTAGCATAATTCCTATTGAACATAGTACAGATAAATAAAGTGCTTCACTGTTCATACCCGAGTATCCAGAGAGACGTTTGCAGTCTTTCCATCTACTGTGACACACAGAACAGAGCCATCTTTTGAGCTTACACAGTCTTCTCCAAACATATCCCTAAAACAAAGGCCAATACACGTAAGACATGGACAAACAGCAAACTTTTGTGTTCTTTCCATTAATCTTAGGCTTCCAAAGGCATTTTGACAGCAGAGTATCTCCTTTCAGAAACTATTATTTAACCCACTTAGATAAATCAACAAGTGCTGATCTAAATTATTATGAGAGAGGGTGTCACATAACAATAAATATTTTACTGAAATAAGCCTCATCATAAATAAAGGGAAGGATTCCTTTAAAAGAGATAAGAATTCTACTTAAGTAACAGAACAAACATCAGAATAAGTTTTAAAGACATGATCTCAAATGTTTTTTTATAGGCATTCATAGCATAATTAAAAACCATTTCTGGAAGAAATAGCTGGGTCCTGAATTCAAAATTTCAATGATGCTGAGGACTTTTTTTTTTTTTTTTAACAGTACCTCTGCCTTTACTTAATTCCTGGCCTTCACAGAAATTTAACTAATGTTAATTTGGATAGGCTATTTTAAAATAATTCTATCTTTAAACACGTAAACAGTCAAAAAATATTATATTCACATGATTAACAGCGATCACTTTCATTTAGAAAAATGTATGTGAACTTACTGAAGCATGATCTCCATTCTCTTGCTGTACAAATCCATATCTACTTTTTTAGAAATTTTCTGCACGGCAGCTGAAAAGAAAAAGTCATCTTACTTTCGCAGACATTTGCTGAGAGGTAAAATTGGCTAATTGAAACAACCTAGTTCCTCTCAAGAAAAATAATCTAAAAGCTATGCAAAACACATGCATTTAGACAATTTATAAAGAAAATGTATTTAAAGAAAAGATGGAAAAGTCAAGGAAGTGCTCAACTTCCATTTATGTTCCCTGTACTTAACACATTTTAGAATAGTAAACTTTGCAAGTCTAATACTCACTTTTTAATTCTCTTTCTTTTAATTGTTTACACTTATTACTTTTCACATTTCCTTTATTTAAAAGTGAAAGTAATCCATTTTCATCACTTGTATATAATCCCTCCACTTTCTCTACCTGTAGGAAAATACGGCATCATGGAGTCCAGGAGCATACAGAGAACACCAAGTAAAACTGGAGAGCTAATGTGAGTAGCAGTAATAAGCAGACATTCCAGGAATGTGTTCCAACATACAGAGGTTGGAATAAAAATATTGATACTTGTTTTACACTTCATTTCAAAATCAACACTACCAACTTGTATAGATAAAGTAGAAAAGTCAAGCCAAGTCAGATATTACCATAAGAATTTTTTTAAAAATTACAAAACAAATTATTTTTATTTTCAGTCATATAAAGAAAGATAGAAAAAAATGAAGAAGCTAAAGTACCATCCAAAAATGAAATGTATATTTTTGATTTGTTTCTGTAGATCAGAACATGAGGGCATGGCTAGAAATGCTGACAAGAAGATACATGCTAAAAATAATCACAACCAAGATATGAAAATTACACTCTAAATTTGCTTAGATCAAGTGAACTGTATAACCTTTATGCAAAAATAGTGAAAGAACTGCTTTCACACTGCTGTGTGAATTTCTCAACTCAGGAGAAAGAATTTTTAACAGATTTATTGAGACAGGCGTGAGACTAAACACTTAACGCCGTACGAATACTTTTGTATAACACCCAATGAATATAATTTTGAATTCTGCTTGCCTGACTTCATCCAAATCCGAAGTAAATACCTCTCTAAGATGTATACTCAACTGCTACTTACTTCACAAGGAGAGCAAGGGTACACAAATGCAGAATTTAATAATCTTTGTAAGATCTTTTTAAATAATAATGTATATTGCAAGTAATGGCTTAAAAAGTGATTTTAAACCCTATATGATAATT